TATCACGAACTCCCTGTTGGACTTGGAGAACTTGACTGAAATCTTTCTTTCCTGGCATTCTCTGCAGCTGCAATGATGATTGTACATTAAAAGACTAACTTTTACAGGAAAGTCTTCATTTTTTTCCAGGTAGATTTTATCTTAATCTGGGAACTAGACATCCAGTATGCAGTTATGCCTGAATAACTAGGTAATGCAGAAATTGTGTAAAATATTCTGTTCCTTGCTGGGTGAAAAGGTGCTTAGCCCCAGTCTATCCCTCCCCTTTATCACCTCATACAGGAGCATCAATGCAGAGATGTCTGAGGATTCCTAAGTGCTTGCTGTTGCAGGCTGAAGAGCATTTTGTTGCAGTGGGCTGTTTAAAATCTATTTCTCTTATTATGAAAACAGCAATCTCAATTCAAGCTTCTCCACAACAGTTCCAGCTGGTATGCACCAGCCAATTGGAAAAACAACAGGTATTTTTAATAACAAATGCAAACTCTATCAACACAGCTCATGCAGGAAAAGGCAGACACTTTCTGGTAGTGTCAGATTTGAAGAGGCACCTACCAATACATGTGCAGTTGGCTCAACACCTCAGGTATCAGATTGCCTGCATTTACATTACATTACATTACATTACATTACATGCTCACTGGAAATATGGCAGCCAGCGATGCAGAAGTGGTTGTCTGACAGTTGAAATCGTGACAGAGAAAGCAGAAGATAACTTATGTTATAAACACACAGGGATAAAAGAAAACTTAAAGCAGGTAAGGTGCAAATAGCTCATATGCAAATGCTCTGCATTGCTTTTTTTGTTGTGCCAGTCAATGTTTCACATCACAAGTGATTTGCAGAGTTCCACGTGGACTGTGCAAAAGCATGCATTTCTCAATTTTCATTACAATACTCCTCTGCAAATTAAATAAATGCAAGGGTAGCAGCCTGCACACAAAGGGATCTTGACAGAAGACTGGCCATTCCAGGACCAATATCTTGTAAAATTATTAATAGCACAATTCCTGTAATTTACAATCATGGCTGAAGCCTTTGACAGGCAGGACTCGGAAATGAAACTGCCACATAATTGCTGTGGGAAACACAACTTGCCACAAAATCAGTCATATCAAAATTAAGTTCTCTCCATATAGCAAGACTGATCAAATATCATTCAAAGTTAATGCAGCATCAATGAAAAAAAATAGACCTCTAATCGTGGTGGAGGGGAAATTTAGAAATCAATAACTGTGGCCTTGGAGATTTTCCTCCTGTAGCAATCAAGCTTCATATATAGGTTTGGAAGGTAAAATGTTCTTCAAAAGTTTCTTCTGTAAAACTTTTGTACAACACTTTTCTTCAGCAGACAACACTCACTTATTGACACCAAAACTTAAGAATAAAATATTACAGCTACTTTTCACAGGTCTAATACCATTTTCGTTGACAGTGGACTCATAAAACACCCTTATTTTACCTTACACTTTGTAACATAGATATGCAGACGTGTATGAAGGAAAGCAGAGTCCTAATCTATCTACAGAGATAAAAAGTGTTTTTCAGTAGTAAGGTTAATCTAGTGAAAACATAGCTGTTACTCACATTTCTCTTCAGAAATATGACAATATTCCTCATTGTTTTCATTTTCACATCCAGCCTCCAAAGCCCTTCTCAAATCTAACCACACATCTGTTTATTTGCTCACCCTAGAAGCAGTTTCAACTGTTTATTTTTCAACTTCATCTTCTGGTGGGTGGCACCCACTGCTTTTAACTGATAGTCATTTTACAGCTTGGTAAGATTCTTTATGAAACTTGCCCCCCCACCAATTTTTCTGTCAGAAAATTTGATTACTGATGCTTCTTCATCCAGAAGGTCATCAAAATAAAACATTCCCAACAGGCCTGTGCACATTGTTGCAATATATGTAGAGGCACAAAAAGATGCTCTTGCAGAGGAAAATGTAATTCAAAACACATCAGCATAGCTGAAGCTTCTTAGGATGACACAACAGATCAGAATTCTGTTGTGAGTTCTTTTACAGCTGGGTAGACCTGGTTCCACAGAGCACCATTTGAGAGCCATTGGCAAACTTAGGGGCAGCTGGTTTCTTTCACCAAAATATGAATGTCAGTGTCAGCAGCAGCAACCTCCCGGTGTGGTCAATGGGGAGCAGGTTTCTGTGCATCTTCTGAAACCATGCACAAACCATAAATGAGAGAAGTGGAAAAACAAGGGCTAAACCATGAAGATAAGTACAGGGGAACTGAATCGATAATTATCAGCCAACCTTTCCCCTGTTGGGGAAATCTCTCAATTTCTTGTTGTAGACTTTAAAGCATTTTTCTGAAAGGATCATATCTTTTCGCTGAAGTCATGCATACATTATTATCTGTCATTTCAGTGTAAAACAAGGCATATTTTATTGTAACCACAAGAATATTAGGGGCTTGTTAGGCTGCTCAGAAACTACTCTGTGTTTCTAGCAGGCAAGTCTGTTACTTTTCCACAGAAATTATAATTCAAAATGTGTGTCATAGAAGGGACAAGTAACAACTTTAATAAATAAATTTTAGCTTCAATGTAACACAGCAATGCTATAAATGTGGGACTTCTTTAAATTGTGCAATGCTGTTTTGTCTTCAGAAAATCTGACAGCTTCCACAAGGAGGATACCAAGGGCTTTTAGAGATCAGCAAATGAGCAAATTAAAACACTACTCAGAGGAACAGTACAACTTTCAGAGACCAGGTAAAGAAGGACCACTTACTATAAAAAACAACAAAAGCCCAGTGCTGGAAACTCTCTGAAGTCACAAATTCATCACCTGCCTCATCATGGCCTGCAGAGAACTCCTGCCCATTGGTCAGGGAGGTGCTGCTGGAGAAGCAGAAGCAGGGCACTGTGGAAGGGAAAGGGCCATGCCCTGGGAGCCAGGCATCTGTTTTGGAGCTCAGCACACAATATCCTGGACGTGGGTTATTTATCCTCTATTCACCAATCCACACCCACATCTGGCATGGTTCAGTTGGCTTCTTGATGGAAACATCTCCCACCAAAGTCCTATGAAAAAAATTATTCTAAGATGGATGTCACATGCATGAGAAGAAGGGAAGAGCACATTGGCAGCTGCAATGCACACCACACTCCTCACTGCAAAGAGCAGAATGCCTGTGGCAATCTTCCATAACCTTAATGTCTTACTGATACAGCCTGTGCCAAATGGAAAAGATAAATTTGACCATAACTGAATTTAGAGGTATGTGAATTAAGGGTTTCAGGATCTGTTACTGAGATGTTAAGTCTTTGCAAAAGACAAACACAGATGCATCACTGGAATAAGAATACCATAGTTCAGTAAGCAGGTTGGCTAGTAGGGAAAACAGGCAATAGCAGTTTGCACATTGAACATCTGGGGTGTTTCTAAAACATATTCATAAAACAAAATAAGAATATTTTTTCCTCTTCATTCTTGAAATAACTGTTAGAATAATTTTGACTCTTTAAACCCAATCCCCTGCTAAAGAGCAACCTTCTCATCACTACCACAAGACCACCAAAAGAACACCTACAATGTACCTTGTGACTTCTAGTTTCAAAGTATTCACTGTTCAGGCATTACAGACAGTAATTACAGGACAGTTTATTTGCTGGGTTACTAGATTTTTGAGTCTAGAGATTAGCTTTACAAGCATCATGAAAGTCTTCTCACGCTTAAAATAATTCTATGTCTTTAAAAGGATGTTACAGTCTCAGTTGATTTCCTACTTAAAACCATCCTCATAATCTTCAATGTTCCTGTTAAAGAAACAGCAAATAACTATCTAGCAACTGAGAAGAGAAATCTGCACCCAAGACTTTCACAACTCTTTTAAACTCAAGATTGTTGCTTTTTCCTTTGTTCGCTTGTTGGATTTTGGAGATTTTTAAACCAGGACTACCCAAACTTCAAAACCAAAGATGATATTTCTCTCTGACTTGCCACTGAAAATCTGATAGTACACAGGGAGAATGCAAATAAAGACGGATTTTGCAGTGGTGGAAGACGCAAAAACTCTAAACTAGATGCACAGACATACATAAGATTATTTTTCCTACTGTGATTTTAACCTTAAGTTTTCTTGTTATATTCTGTTCATGGTAAATCACCATGTCAAAAGATTACGCATCACATTTTAAAGCAGAAGTGTTAGCAGGGTTTTAAAACATACCATAGAAAATTTATTTTCCCCATTACAGATCCTATATCCTAAGACAGATGCACTGAATATACCACAAGATAGACATACAGAAGAGTGTTCATATCAGTTGAGCAGGGGCGGAGGGAATATAAAAAAGAAGTATACACAGCTCCCTTTCCCTCCGAGAGCCCGGCACAATGAGGGATTTGGGGTTTTATTATTCTTTATGCCTATCATAAGGCACCTAGGCAGAGATTCCATTTCCTCAAGTTTCAGCTCAAAGGAAGAATTTTGCTGAAGAAAATGCATGGGATTTAGTGAAAATGCTAACTCTACCTTTCAGTTTAATGCCAGGAATATCACTGTGAAATTTAGTCCAGATACAGAATAGTGTGAGGAAGCATGTGAAAAAAGTAATAGTTATTGTGAAAATTAGTTTTTAAAGAGAATGGTACTCAGCTTTGATAGAAAGTGTTTTCTGGAACAGGTAGAGACCATGCCGAACTTCCTTGCACACCTATGTGACCCCTGCTGATCGATGTCAACCTTTGATTAATATTTTACTGGAAAAGTGTGAGATGATTCAAACTTTGTCTGTCTGGGTAGGTGTTGCTAAGCAACTTTGCTCCTTGTCTGAGAACTAGTCTTCACGGCAACCTTTCCTCCAAGACAAAGACCTGCATCCACTTGAATCACTTTCTTCCTCTATCAGTGAAAAACCCAGCCAGTCATATCCCACCCTTCCCTTTACATTTGGCTCCCCGCCTCCCAGCAAAGAAGAAATGGATGTCATGAAGAAACTAACATCATGAAGAACTGCCGCCCTTCCCTTACCATAATCGCTGTCGTAGAAGACGATGAACTTCTGCCAGCGCAGCTCGGTGACCAGCTTGAGCATGACGTCGTTGAGGCGCACGGGCGGGCGCGCAGCCAGCGTGTACTCCTCGTCCTCCAGGCTGGGGTTGAGCTGGCAGGCCGTGCGCGGCGAGCCGCCCGTGCTGCGCTGCACGAACAGGTGCGGGATGTGCATGGCGTCCGTCAGCGACTGCAGCGCGTTGGCCGACGCGCAGCCCGTCGACGTCACCAGGGCTAGGATCCCCAGGGTCATCAGGTCGCAGGCTGGAGAAGACAAAGACGTAAAGCAGAGTTTGAAGGAGCTCAGCAAGTCCTTTGGCAAACCTAGATGCTAAGAAGGGAACGAGGAAGGTTTTGCCCTTGCTGTCAACACAGGGCTGAAATGATTTATGTTACGCTATCAGCTGAAGCCTTGCAGAGTTAGGTCCTGTACCTTTACAGTAGGAGACGGTATCTGCAATCTGTCCCGATATGCCAAAGTTGAGGACAGATAACATAACTACTGTCAGTCCTTGAGACAGCAGCCTGATGTGGATAGAGATTATGGCCCTTTGCTTCAGGTCAGTCCTGGTGCATGCAGGAACTGAATTCTCATTTTTTTTTAAACTCACTTCACTGCTTTAACCCCTTAATCCTTGTTGGGCACGGTGGGTGAAGATTTCGGACAATAAAGAGCAATTTCCATTCCGAGGATTTGCCTCTTACAGCAGAGTTTTGAAGGATTTTTTTTAAATTGATAAACATTCACTGTGTGTCTCAAAGCAATGAAGAAACAACAAAGGCATTCTTTAGAACCAAGACAACTCATGAATGACTAAACAATTATTAGCAACACTGTAGCTGTCCTTAAAAAGATCTGGAAAAGCACGTATCATTTAAAAATGCAGCATATACATTTGACCGCATCTGTTTTTGAGAATGAAGCATTATTCTCAAGCTGAGTTTGAAACACAGATCATGGAGAAGCCAGGGCAGTCTGCTCTGCTGCTCAGGACACCCCATGTGGAATGTTCTTCCCAGGACTTCTCCAGATAAGGCAACCTGATCTTCAGCTGCAGGTAGAAAATACTTCCAGCCAGGGCCCTCAGTAACTATTCAGTCAGCAGTGGTGAAAAGAAGGCGTAAGACCATAAGGCAGCCAGCGATGCCAGTTTTTACTAACTCTAGTGAATAAGAGGCAGCCAAGTTGGCCCTGGGAGCTCAGCATAGGAGACTCTCATAGGATAGGCTGGCACCAGCCCTGGGGATCCCCCAGGGACACTAGGAACTTGCCTGCTCCACCTGTGAAGAGGGCTGGGGGCAAGCTCAGGGGTTCAGCAGCTGTTTCAGACCCCAAAAAGCACTGCCCAAACACAGCCTGCCCACAGGAAACCCTTCCTCTGCTCCCCCAGCACAGCAAAGCCCGACAGGAGGGGACTGGGGATGCTCCCCAGCCCTGTGCAGTCTGCACAAGCTCCTTAACAGTGCATGAACAAAAAGCCTCTGGGGTGCAATTCAAAGCCCCCTGGGACACAGAGAGCTGAGCAGAAAATTCAGCTTCCAGCTGGAAAGGAGAGGCTGCCCATGCTGGTGCTTCCCCCCGCAAGGAGAGTGCACAGGCTGGGGGACTGCCAGCGCCGTGTCAGGGCTAGTGACAGCAGGTGACCTGCAGCCACACTGCTACTGACCTGCTGCCTCAGCTCCAGTAGAAAGGCAGAAAAGAGAAGACAATCTATTAAAGGCATTTATCTATCCTCCTCTAAACACTTTTAAGTATATCTCCACTTTCAGAAACCACAAAGTTAAAGGAAGTAGGTTATGAATAATTAATAGTAATTAGCAGTTAAGTATCAATTAATATTAATTACATAAAGCCTCTATAATTAAATACATAACTGTTTCTCACACAAGCAATGAACCACTCCACCAAAAATCTTCTTAGACCAGACAGAAAATAGATATATTTCACTTTGATATGGGATAACAGGACGAAAATGTTTGATCTTCTCTGTGCACAGAATGTTCAACATGTATCCTGATGCAACAAAGATGAAGAGCTTTTAAAATTATTTCCTTGATGGTCTTTACAATAAACATATGTCGGCTGCATTATCTAAATTTACTCTGTGTTGATTATAGTTATATGAAATAGTTCTTTGTTTTTCCTGAGAGCTGACCTGATTTAACAGCAGGGAGGCATTGTATTTGCCAAATGGAAGACCCAAGTTCGGGAACAGATTTGATTTCCCAGGCTTCTTGCCAGAGAAAACTGAACATGTCATACAGGTAATTTATTTAGTCACAGTAGGGGAGGGAACAGAGAAGTGAGAACAGAGGGAGAGAACAGCAGAGCTGAGCCATAAACCCCTGCAGAGATCACCAGCCAGCAAGCTTTGCTGTCACCAAGGGTGAGAGCAGCAAGCCACACGGGGCTGTGGCAGGAACAATTTACTTGCAAACCAGACAGAAGGAGACGAAAAACAAAGCCCTTTCTGATGGGAGGCTGCATTCAGAGAGTCACTTATTTGTGCAATTCAGAGCTGATCATCAGTTGTATAACAAGAAAAACCTTAATTCAGCGACTGACACTAATCAAAAGCTGCTGCTTATGAGCAGCAGAAAGACCAGAGAGGCGACAGATCGCAGCAAATGGGCCCCCTTATCTCCCAGCACAGCCCACCAAACACAGCTGAAATAGCTCAGCAAAGATCATTGCAGCTGAGGCATTTTCCCAGTGTTTTGTAGTTTGTGTCCGTGGGTTAGATTGAAGAATTAGTCAATATGCTTCCACATTCTGATATTTTTTCCATTGATTATGTTCTGCCTGAAAGCATATGCTACTCAGTAAGTGTGTGCTCCTCTTGCCTCTCTGTTTTGAGATAGCAGGCAATAAAAACTGGAATAACTAAAGAAAAAAAAAAAAGTTTCATGTTTTCTGAATTGCTTTCTTTAGTCAAATTACAGAATGTGAAACAGAACATGTCATTTCTAATAGAAGACTTTCATTACACAAAAATACAATGGATTCCAAGAAGTTCAACCTCTCCACAATTATTGCACTGAAGGGTGAGAATAAGCTTTGAGCACAGAAAGAAGGAAAGTATTACTTTTTACATGAGTAACACAATGGGGAACAACAACATAACAGACTCCATTAAAAAACTCATTAGCTCTTAACGCATCTCAAAATTCCTTAGCAAGAGAACGTTCAAGGATTATACAATCTTGGGAGAAAATTCTGGTGGATCACGATTTTTTGGTTTTTGGTTTTTTTTTTAGGATTCCCCCCACATTCCTACAATTTCTTGCACATAAAACTAACATTAGAAAAGAGATGCAATTTTCTGTGTAACTTCACAATACCTATAGATTTGCAGGAACATCCAAATATCCTTAACTTCATGACTGAGTAAATGGCTAATTCTGTCTATCAGTTGCAGTTTCATAAGCATTCAAAAGAACCTGCAATTTATTACATAAAAATTTCATAACCCTGATCATGATTTTCTTATGAGCTGAATACATGTGATTTGAAATGTTTTGGTCCACATCAAACTATCAACAACATAAGGGAAAGGGGAAACAAAACACCTTGAGAACTTCAGTGAACTTCAGCTACTATAGTTATGGTAGTATACATTTAATATTCTTATAACTAAAATGCTTCCATATTCAATTATGGTGCAGATACCTTTACTTAGATAAGTTTTAAGAAATAAGACTTCTAAAGTATTTGTTTCACAGATGAAAAGACAGCAATGTTCTGGTAATCCTGCCCCAGATTTTACTGCTATTTAAAGAGAAATAGGTATTAGTTTACTGTGCTGAGAATTACTTTATCACCATCAAACTTCATTTTAAGAAGATACCAACATCACACAAACCATACAGTAAGAAACGTGCAGTCTAACATGATGAAAACATGAACATTGTCATACCTAAAGAATACATCTTCATTAATCTATTTAAGCCAATTAAATCATGTCATGGTACTTGTTCAGTGTTGACCTCCATCAACAGACTCTCTCTCAGGCTTATTCTTGGATTTCATTGAAGTTTCCCAAAATATTGACTAATCCTGTTTGTAATTGTTTTGGTGAAGTATCTCTCCTAACCTATTCTTTTGAAGTCTGTTTTCAGAGACACTCTTTTACACAACTGCTTGGTATTTTACATCTTGAACAGTTTTTTCCATCATGGTGTTTCACAGGACATTCCATTCTTCTCCATCCATTGCCTCTAATTTTACTTTCACATCATAGCAATATATACAAAACTCTCATTCTGTGACCCACACCTCTAACTCCAGACACATTCCATTAAGACTATACTTAAGCCTGAAAAATAAGCTATTAATTTTCAGACTTTGCCTTATCCAAACCACCTTTCTCATCAGTGGGACTCCTCATGACAAATGAGACAATGCAAGACTTCTACTTTGCTGCAATCATCCTTCAGGTCTTGCATTTCTACCACTGCTTCCCGTACTTCCCAGTTCTGAAGACAGATGTAGATGGCAATATCCTGATTTGGCACCACCTTCATGGGGATATTTGCATTAAGAGCTTTGTCTCAGATCTCTGTAATTCAACCCTCTCTCTCCAAACCACTGGGGATTAAAACACTCCAAGAGAAACTGTTATCTTGCTCCTGGCAATGTGACAACATGACCATCTCTCAGTCTCCCTTTCAGTGATTTCCTATTATCAGAAAAGGGTAGAAACTCATCCCTTTATTTCTTCCATTATCAATAGAGTAGCAGCCAGTGTAATTTCAGCTCTAACAATATATCCACCTACTGGTATTCACACTGCCTCTTCAGACTTCGATATCTTTATGTCTCTCACTTCTGGGCATCACCATCCTGCCCACTCTGGACACCCTTTCATATTTAATAAATCCTCTTCAAGTTTTTAGTTGAATTTTTTCCTTCTTTATCATTTTGACTAAACCTTAGGAACTCTTAACTGCACTACAAATAGAGAATCATTCAAATCACAAATAACTTGCATTTAAAAAAAAAATCACTTTCTGAAATTTGAGAGGCTGTTGCCTTTCTGCTTGGAAAGATTTTCAAAGGAAGGAAGATAAGTTCAGACACGCTGTATTACTCTGCAATGAAGTGATTAACTAAGTTGGCACTTAAGAGGCTGTGATTAGGTTTGAAAGCCACCTTCCTGCTGAGACGAGGGACTTCATGCTTGCCTCAGTACTACTGCCTCAGTCAATCTGGCAGAAAACTAATTTTTCACATTATTTATCTTTGAAAACCAGTAGGAAAAAAA